TTCGGGCAGGGAGTTCAAGAGCCCTGATGTGTGTATCGCTCACCCCCTCATTTCCCCCGCACTCCCAACCCCATGCCATCGCCTCGCCCCTCCCGCCCGCCCCCGCCTTTTATATTCAGACGGGTCACTGTGCTCGCTGTTCAATGATCCACGGCAGCGTGCATGTTACTGACGTGCGGCTAACGTGTTAACATGCCGTTAACACGACTTGCCTCAGTCCCACCAACGATTGGAAACACAGGAAAAAAAAGAGCAGGTCATTCAGCCCCTCGAGCCTGGTTTGCAATGATCTGTAACCCTTACACCAATTACCCCACGTACCTTGACACCCTGACCTAACCAAAAATCTATCCACCTCAAGGCAAATGTCTGGCGCTTATTGCAGAAGGGAAGAACATCAAGGGTTAATCCAGTACTTTGCTTTTAGTTAATGTTCGTGTTTCCCCCATCTCCCCCACCGCCCCCCCGCCCCCCCCCCCCGCCCAGTAAATCTCTCATAATCTGTTGTGTAAATTATCATAAGACTCATGACGAAATCAGCTCATGTCAGCTGTATTCTGTATAGACTAATTCCCCGCAGCTTTTGTTATCTCTGTGTCTTTCTTTTCATTGTCTTTTTGCGCGCGTGCGTGCGTGTGTGTGCATGTGAGTGTGTGTGTGTGTGCGTGCGTGTGTGTGTGTGCATGTGAGTGTGTGTGTGCGCGCGTGCGCGTGCGTGTGTGCATGTGAGTGTGCGCGCGTGTGAGTGTGTGCGCGTGGGCCCACTATCTCCCTCCCATTGTAGTAATTCCATAAAAATGGAGTAATGCTGTCTCTCTCTCTCTCTCTCTCTCTGTAGCATTGTTTCTGAATAGAAAGCGTGTAAGACATTAATTGTATCAAAGCCTCACTGTCTGAGAGAATCGAGACGTACCCCTTTAAAACCGGAGACTTTATTATTGGTAATGATGCTTCCATTTGTCTTTCGCTTCAGGAGGACGTCTCAAAGCGCTTCACAGCATAATATACTAATAAATAATAATAATAATAATCCTCGCGCTTTGATGTGGCGCCTTATCACATCTTCGAGGCGTCTCAAAGCGCTTCACAGAATATACTGCGGCGGCTGTATATACTGTGAGCGAAGCAGGGCAGTCGATTGCGCACAGCAGTGTCCCACATACAGGCGTGGATTGAGTGACCAAATTATTATGTTTTTTTTCAACGGAATTATTACCCCCCTGGGAAAGCGATCCGTCATTCCTAACTAACAGCCGGGTTCCGACTTACTACTGGGCAAACGGAGGCGTGAGCGTGGAGTGAGGAAGCTTGCCCAAGGTCTCGCCCTGCCCGGGGAATCAAACCCGGATCCTCTCGCTTGCGAGGTGAGAGCTCTAAACACTACGCTAATTGCAGGGATCTGCGAGTTATGAATCTGCCTCAACCATACCTCACCCCCTGCCTCCCCCCCAACCCCCCCCACCCTCAATGTGATACCAATGTGAGCGCGTCGCTATGTGGGTAAGCTCATGCACAGTCCGCGTTACTGACAGTGACCCGCGGCAATGGACTGGCAGTGAGTAAATCTAGAGATGGCAGCTGAACACGGCCTCCGATGCTCACGGGCCATCCATCACCCAGAGCCACTGACATTGACAAATGCTGGAGTTCAGGGGACAATAGCTCCTCATCAGCCGCCAAACACTGACACACACGAGGCTGTGACAACGGCTGTGATAGAGGAAGAGGGTCTGAGAGACAGGAGAGGAGTCACTCAGCAAGCACTCAGCAAGCACAAACACACAGAAACACACGCAGACAAACATGCGCAGACAAACACACACATATACTTGTACTCACACAGAGACACACAGACAAACACGCACAGACAAACACACACATATATTTGTACTCACACAGAGACACACAGACAAACACACACATATATTTGTACTCACACAGAGACACACAGACAAACACACACATATATTTGTACTCACAGAGACACACAGACAAACACACACAGACAAACACACACATATATTTGTACTCACACAGAGACACACAGACAAACACACACAGACAAACACACACATATACTTGTACTCGCACAGACAAACACACACACACACAGAGACACACACATAGACAAACACACAAAGACACACACCCACAGTCACACATATTATAATAATAATCCTTGCATTCGCGTACATATCCACACACAAACAGAGACACACACATAGAGACATAGGGACAGACATGCACACACACACACGCACAGACACAGTGACACAACGATACATATAGAGACACACGCGCATTTTAAGATTAGGAGTCATTATGTTGGCCATTAGTTGGTTGCGGGGGCTTTGGTGGGGTGGGGGGGGGGGGTTGGGGCATATTATATTACAGAGTCCTTTGATGTGCTCAGACCCCAGTGTAGTGCCGATTACTGATCGGATCTAACAGCACATGAGAAGGTTTTTACAATGAACCGAACCAGTCAAATAATATATTAAAAAAACTATTTATTTTGATTACTTTTTCTTCAACCCCCGCACTGAGCTCCCGCCCCAGGCTGATGGTTCAGTGCGGGGGAGAGAGGTGGGGGGGGGGGGGAGTAAGGGGGGTGAGCAGAGAAGTGGAACCCAAGCAGATTATCAGGGGGATAGGGAGTTGCCAGGTGCCAGGGGGGGAGGGATTTATATGCGAGGGGGGGGGAGTTGAACTTGAAGACGATCTATTCAGAGACGAGGATGTCATGTTCATTGCACCTCTTTGACCCACGCTTTCGGTTATTTTCCCCTCTCCACCCCCACGGCTCTGCCCCGCCTACGCCCCCCCCCCCCCCCCCCACCACCACCCACCCCTTTCCCCCTCCCCACCCGCCCGCACCCCCGCCGCCCCAGGCTTGGGTGCCCATCCAACCCCCCGAGATGTTTGAGACAAAGCACGACAGCGAAGCTTAACCTGTCACCGCTCGAGTCCCGTGTCTGGATTAGTGTCTGGTACACACATTCCATCAGTGATTCCCAGTGACCTTGCATCAACCTCTACCCCCCCCACACCCCCCCACCCCATCCCCTTCTCCTCGCCAGTGTAGGGCATCGCCCCCTGGTGATGATTAACTGTGTTTCTCGCTCGTTGCTCCCCCTCACCCCCTCTTTCTCTCGTGCGTTGGCGAACGGGTTAAAACCTCACTGTAACTATTCCGGCTTCCGAGCAGTATGTTAAAACTGTTTGCCTCTCCCCCCCCTCCCCTTCTCCCTCCCTCCCCACCTCACAGTGCGGCACACTGGCAGTGATCAGAGCGAGACTGTCTGTACGATGCCCGCTAACATATTATTATCTTAGGCTGATTTCCTCTCTCTCTCTCTCTCTCTCTCTGTTCGTTAATTACCACTTGCAACAAAGCAATCAAACTTCTTAATAACCGCTGCAGAAATGCTCGGCTCTTAACGATGTGTATCTATCTGATCGCTCGGTCATTTGCTCCCTCGCCCCTGGGTCAGGAGGAGGTTGTGGTTTAGGTCTCTCTTCCCCCCCCACCCACCCACCCACCACCTCCCCTCCCCTCCTTACCCCACCCCAACCAGGTGAGGGTCTCTGAGCTCCTAGACGAGGCTGGCGTTCTGGGGATACAATGCTGGGGGAGGGGGACAAGTACTGCGTTGTCAGGGGGACGTTGCCGCGGATGTTAAAGATCTTGTGACGCTTTTGGAAGGAAGGAGTCTTACTCCCCCCCCCACCCACCCCCCACACCCCCGCCGCCCCCCCTCCGTGTCCTGACCGACAATCCACCAGATACACCGCTGTGCGCAGTTGGCTGCCGCGTTTCACCCGCAAAAACGCAGTCACGACACTTCACAGTGTGTCCTGTGAAGCGCTTTGGGACGTCCTCCCGACGTGAAAAAGCGCTATATCAAATGCAAGGATTATTATTATTATTATTATTATTTGAGACGTCTCGAAGACGCGATAAGGCTCTGTATCAAACGCGAGGATTATTATTACGTACACTTTACTGCAGGTGGCACTGTTGGATTGGGTTTGCTCAGACAGCGGTGACCGCAGAGGCAATGCATGTGGATTTTACGGACAATGCGAGGACGAGACTAGAGAGGATTACGATTGAGGCGGGTGCGAGAGCCTGTGAGAGGGTCAGAGCGACGGAGGCATAAACCGGGGGTCGGCCAGAGGGTCTGTGATTGGGGCTCACACGTCTTAAATAATAATAATAATCCCGGCATTTGACAAAGTGCCTTGTCACGTCTTCGAGACGTCTCGAAGCGCTTCGCAGAATATACTGTAAAGCGAATCGACGGTAGATTTGTGGGCGAAACGCGGCAGCCAATTGCGCACAGCAGCGTCCCCGCAAACAGCCGTGGATTGAAGTGACCCAATTATTATTTATCGTAGTCTTGGGATTGCAGAGTCGCCGGAATTCCACCCAAGTCTCAGCCTCGAAACGAGACGAAAAGGACGCCACTATTTAGTGGTAACGTTTAACATGTGACGAACTAGCACGCTCGGCAACACATAACACACAAAGAACCCCCTCTCCCCACCGCACCAACACCACCACCACACCCCCCCCCCACCACCCTAACACAGGAACGCTCTTAAAATATCCACGACAGATCTCAGCTCGTTCCTCTCAGCCTGTTCGATCCACGTAAATGACGGTCGGTCACAAAGGCTGAGCGAATACTGAGAATTTATTATTGTTATGTGCACAGGCAGCTGCTCAGAGACGTCCGGGATTAGTATGTGGACACGTGACGTCACAGCCACTCGTGATGCATGCACACACGCTTAGCACCACGGAAGGTTATTGCACGTCGCCTGTTTAATAATGCTTTCTCGCACGGTGGGATATCCAGCAAATGTGGGTTTTGTGTGTCCGAGGATGTGGTTTTAGGAGCTCGGAGTTGGAGAACGGGAGGTGTTTTCCCCGGGGGAGGGAGTAGGAGCAGGAGTGGGAGTGGGGGTGGGGGGGGAGACAGGGGGAAGGGAGAAGGGGATCGCTGACCGGGAACCCCAGGCCCCATCTTGCTCGGGGAATGTACCGAACAATCCCGGTTCCCAATTAGACCAGGGGGTAACTGGCAGCGGTTGCAACGCCGCATTGATTCCCCCGGTTCCGTGACATGTAGATGTATCCATCATCGCCCCATTCGATCCCCCAACTGAATGGAAACAAGAGAAAGGAGAAACACGTCTTGACTGTGTGGCTCAGTCAACAGCCGTCTCGCCTCCCAGGTCAGGACTTAGAACTCGTACAGTCTAGGCTGAGACTCCAGCTCAGCACTGGGGGGGGGGTGGGGAGAGGGCAGGGGGGGGAGGATTGCCGCATTGTCAGGGGCACCATCGCTTCAAACGAGACGTTAAACCGAGCTCCCCGTCTGCGCCCTGTCCAGGCGGACGATAAAGACTCCCCCCACGGCCCTGTTTGAAAAGAGAAGGGAGTTTCTCTCTCTCTCTCTCTCTCAGTCTCCCGGTGTCCTGGCTGACACTCCCCCAGGTGACAAAAATCGCTCACTCGCTTCGCTCGCTGTTTGAGGGACACTCAATGGCCGTGTGCAAATCGACTGCTGCGTTCACCCCCCCCAAAAGCATATACGGTTGCAGTGTATCCTGTGAGGGGCTTTGAGATGTTCCCCCTGGCGTGAAAGCCAATGTAAGGCTTATTATTACTGTTACAGTCTTGCTGACCTAGTGTGGACGGTGGGGATGTGATTTGGAATCTAGTAAACTCCTGTACCTGTTCTTAACCAGCCAGTAATCCTCTCCATACAGAGATCCGTAGCCCACAACTAGAACGCCGTGATCCAGCTCGGTACTGCTGCAATCGGGCTCGTTGTAGATTCCTGCGGACATGTTTAACAAGGGCTCACTTGTCACAGGAGGATTGATGGGGGACCTGATCGAGGTCTTTTACAACGTCGGGCGGGGGAGTAGGCGACGGGTAGTGGATTGGGGGAGTTAAGCAGGTCGCAGAGGTAAATGACTCCCTAATCCGCTGGTTACCTGAGGAGTAAAACTGGAACGATCCGTGGCTTGCGTCAATGGCGATGGAGATTGGGCCGACGGACGCGGCGGCGGATTGTAGATCAGCCTCGCTCCCGGCCGGGAGGTTGATGAATTGAGAGAAGGTTGCCCCAACCCTTCCTCCCCAGGACCTGCACTGTTCATCCTGAGGACCACAGACACAAGCCAGTCACTCCCAACGGCTCACAGCTTCACCCAGATTGCGTTCGCGTCGGAATAATAATAATAATAATAATAATAATAACATTTGCATTTGATGCAGCGCCTTATCTCGCCATTGAGATGTCTCAAGTTGCCGTCTGTCGCTTCCAACCGCTCTTCCCCAACCCAACACGCTTTCCCCCGCTTACTCAACACTTTTGGAGGGAGAGGTTTAAAACGCGCAGTTTCTATTCCCTAACGGGCGAGGAACGTCCCTCGAATTCCCGGCAGGTTGAGGTCGGAGCTGCGGATATTCAGCGTGTTTGGAATCGTGGCTTGCGATCCGAGACGGTTTTTCCTCACGATTGTATCTGAAAGATTAGGGTCGGGGTGGGTGGGGGCGGGGGAGAAAAAAAACATGTCCGCCCGTGCGCGTGGAACTGGAAGGGAAACGGCTGGGAGCTGAGGCCGTGCGTGCGCAGACGTCGACGTTGAACGGGATGTGCTTGGCCCGGGATTGGGAAGGCTCGCTGGGCGCTTACCTGGGCTTCGTACGGATAGGAAGCTTCGGTGTCAATCCCGCCGTTGTCTATGACATACTGAAACGCGTAGTCCATGAGCCCCCCGTTGCAACCTTCATTTCCATAACTACCGGAGCAGTCCACGAGCTGCTGCTCACTGAGAGAGACCAGGACCCCAGTGTTTCTGCAGTGCTGACCCTCCATAGCCCCCGTCTGTGAGGGCAAACACACACACGCACACACACACGCACACGCACCCACACGCACACACACCCACACGCACACACACACGGCCGCCACATTAACAGGAATTGTTGTGACAAAAAAAGACCAAGTTCCGTCAAGTTCGACTTGGACTGGACTTGAGGTACAGGTCAGCCGTGATCTTACAAAATGGCGGAACAGGCTCGAGGGGCTGCATAGCCCACAACAACAATAACAACAACAACAAGTTACACTTGTACAGCGACCTTCGCGTCGGTCAGGGTTTTTTGGACCCGAGCTGGGAGTTGTTGGGGTCAGGAGGGCTTGAGGGTGGGGAGTGGGGTTGGTGGTGGAAGGTGGGGGCTACTCCTGTTTCTGTTGGTAGTCGCATACTACAATAATGGAGATGTTGGTAGCAATTCATTCTGTGTGGATCGGTCGACAACAAACAGAGAGGGAAACTTTGGGAACCATAGATCGATCCAAAGTTGCCTGGTTCTATTTCTGTGAGGCCGAACATGTCCAAAAACACACACGTCATCAAACGGATTTTACAAATTCAGCAATTGCACTTTTCCTACTGAGAAATATCTGTGCGCTCTGTGGCCATCAGTAAAACAAGTTGGACCCCTGAAGTTAATAGTAAATTGGTGTTTTGACTGAACATCATACAGCGACGACTTGCAGTTATATAGCAACCTTCAGGCAGGGTCAGAGCTCAGAGAGCTTGGATACAACTTGGAACTGAGTCCTCTTCCCCACAGCAATAATAATAATAATAATTGTAATGATCCTTGCTTTTGATATAGCGCCTTATCGCGTCTTCGAGACGTCTCAGAGCGCTTCACAGAATATACTGTGTATTTTGTGGGCGAAACGCGGCAGCCAATTGCGCACAGCAGCGTCCCCACAAACAGCCGTGGATTTGAGTGACCAAATTATTATTAGTTATTCTTTGAAGGAATTATTACCTCTGGAAAAGCGATCCGCCAATCGACTAACAACCGGGTTCTTACTTACTGCTGCGTAAACAGGAGGCGGTGTGTGTGGAGCAGGGAAACTTGCCCAACGTTTCGTCCAGTTCGGGAATCGAACCCAGGTCTTGATTTCAAGATTCTCATCCTCACCTACAAGGCCATTCACGGCCTCGCTCCCTCCTACCTCTCCAACCTACTATCCCCCTACCTACCTGCCCGTACCCTCCGTTCCTCTGGCTCTGGTCTGCTCCACGTCCCCCGCCCCAACCGCCCTACCATCGGTGGTCGGGCCTTCAGCCTCTCAGCCCCCAGGCTCTGGAACTCCATCCCCAGTGCCTTCGCCGCTTCCTCCCTTTCCTCCTTCAAGGCCGGTCTCAAAACCTTTCTCTTTGACCATGCCTTCAGCTCCCCTCTCGACTCTCTTCCCCTCCTCGCTCCCTCCCTTCCCTCCCCTCACCCTGACCATTTCTCCCCTCCTTGCTCCCTCCCTTCCATCACCCTGACCATTTCCCCCCCCCCTGCTCGGGTCATGACCCAACTGTGCAGCGCCTTGGGACGTCCTCCTGACGTGAAAGGCGCTTTATAAATGGAATCTTGTTGTTGTTGTTGTTGTCTCTCGCTTGCGAGGCGAGTGCACTAACCACTGAGCTGCAGGACTGCACAATCAAAACAACTAGTGCCCCCCCTACCCCCCCATAACCCTCTCCCCGTCTCTCCCCCCAACTTCGCAGCGTCACTTACAGCACTGAAAGCCCAGCAAGAACCACAAGAGCTCTGGTCTTTGATAGGAGTCACATAGCCCTCGTCTCTCCAGTCCACTTGACTGGGGAGGCTCGGGGATTGGAGATTCGGAGCGGTGGCAGCTGCTGTCTTTGTGACATTGGATCTCCGCAAACATTTCCCGAGGACCAGCCTTCTGTACTCCTCGTTTTCCTGGTGAAATGAAATAAACTCTTGAGCGACAATAGCACCCGTCACGGAGAGTGGCATCCCAGAGCGCTTTGCAATGGAAATAGAGAATCGCTGGAGTTTTCTGTTGGGGGATGATGGGTGTCAGAGCACGGGATGGGGGGGGGGGGGGCTGTGGAATAACAGTATTAATAAGAGTAATCCTGGGGTTTGATACAGCGCCTTATCACTTCGTTGAGGCATCTCAAAGCGCTTCACAGAGGGTACTGTAAAGCGGTCGGTTCGAACGAGTCGTGCGTAAATTAGGTGAAAGATTTTATATTGACCATATCACACGCTCCGTTGATATGGTCACTGATAAATCCGTCTTGATTTACATCCCTGCTCCCACCCCACCTCCGTCACCCATCTCCCCCAAAACACCCAGGCAGAACGTTTACCAAATCGGCAAAGGCATTCATTTCCAACCGGTAGGTGGTCAGTCCCCGGTCAGCCAACATGTTGTGTTCGAGAACTTTCTTCAGGTTCGTCAGCCAGATCTCAACGCGTTGGACTTCTTCAGAAGGAGAGTAGGATTTGCCTGTCAATGAAAAAGCGAAACCCCGATTTAAAAGGCTTTCCGAGTCCCTAAACGTTGATTTATCGCCAACTCCAGAAATGTTCAGTCTCGCAAGAAATGAGCGTTAAAAATAGCAACAAAACACCCCCCCTCCTCCCCACAAGTTAAGGGGAGGCTGTTTGTCCCATGTTGTTTGTTCCTCTTCCTTTAACGTGACAGAGCTTTGAATCCCGTTTCCCTCGCCCCTTCTTTTAGAAAACGTATCGCTCTCTCTCTTCACGACTGTGGGCAAATTGGCCGCAAAAATACAAATTCGCTGCACTTTACAGTAAAGTCCTGTATTATTCCTTAATGCCCTTACTGGTCAGATAAAGTTCCCGGGGCACTATGTTCTAGTTAGTTCAGTAGCAAAATTACCAAACTTAGCTTTCCACTCCTGCCAATTGGTGTCCCAGATATAGCCTGGAATCCCCTCAGTCAGGGAGGCGATGGCAGCCAGAATCAGGATCTTCATTGTAACCAACGGGAACTTCCAGCCCAGAGTTTGGCTCAGGAACTTTCAACCCCGGAGCGATCTCACAGCCAGTGTTTGGAGCTCGAGCCTGGGGATGGAAATCTTCACCACTCCTGTGCCTCTTCCACTTTTGTGGAGCTTCCCCCCTGAATTAAACCCCTGACGGTCCAAGCAGAGGATTTATACTTTGTCTCGCTCAGTGTCTGACTGCTGGTAAACCACATGATGCTCATAGTTACCAGCAAAGCGGGAGAGGAAAAGACAAGGATTCTGAAACACAAAACAGGAAGTGTTTAACACCATACACCAGTGTATTAGATCTCAGTAGATCCTTTAACCCCAGTAATTCTCGTCTTCGCTCTGTAGATATCACGTAAGATTCACCCCACAATGCCTTGTCTGTTCCATTTACGTTATGGGACAATGTTTAACGTTAACTGGGGGTTGGGGGTGGGGGTGGGGGGGAGCAGAGGAAGGTAACAGTGTTTAATATTATTTAGTTTGATTGGAAACTGAGTTTTGAATAATGCCAGGGGATATTGGGATGTATTTTTTATCCAACAGTAAATAAATTAGCCACAATCCATGAGTCAAAAGTTGAGTTGGGAAATCTCTAAAACTTTCCAGTACGTGGCTAGAATTTTATTCTTAGTAGTTTGCCCCGAGAGCTTCCCTTCCTGAGAATTGACACCAATATTAACCTGCGATTACAGTCCAAATGTGGAGTCCTGTAGCTCAGTGGTTAGAGCACTCGCTTTGCAAGTGAGAGACCTGAGTTCAATTCCAGGCAGAGGGCGAAACCGTGGGCAAGTTTCCTTACTCCACACGCCTCTGTCTATCCAGCAGTAAGTAAAGAACTTGGTTGTCAGTTGATTGGCACTTTCTGGGAGGAACAATAAAAAAATTGCGGACAGTTTGTGGGACGCTGATGTGCGCAATTGGCTACCGCGTTTCACCCACACAGTAATTCACTTTGCAGTGCCTTCTGTGAAGCGCTTTGAGGCGTCTTATTTTATAATTGTTTTATCTTCATGACGCGATAAGGCTTATTATCAATATTATTGCTATCACTGGCAACTTTCTGCCAGGCTGTGCTTTTACTCGTGACATGTTTTAGCGAAAATGAAACCGAAAAAAATACTGGGTTTCACTGTTTCGACACAAAAGGAAAAAAAAAACACCCGCCATCGTGTATGTCAGCAAGTCACAAGGAAACATACTTTTTATGGACGGCAGGGAAATTATTTATCAAAAATGATTGGAAGAACTGTACATTCTTTTCATCAAAAAGGGTCAACGTAGTACTGTAACAATGCAAAGCTCCAGAAATACAACAACAACAAAGTCAATGTCACTGGACAAAGCTCAAGGTGTCACGTGTCTCTCACACCCCAAGAAAACAACACAGCACACTCCTGGTTCATTTTTAGACGGTGCCTTTTGTGTCGAGAGGATGTCACAAGGCGCTTGACCTCGGGTGCCCAAGGATGGGGTAGGAGAGGGGAAAGATGACCGAAAACACTAGGGTTAGGGTTAGGGTGGCCATCTAATCTCATAAGGTAAGATGGGGGCTGGTTGTCTCAAACGTACTCGCTTAGCAGGGGCTAAAAGTAGCTTCGCTGGACAACTTTGAGGTCAGCTTCCGATTACATTTCATATTTGCTTGGGAAGATGTTCACTCCTCCGAGAGCGTCATCTTGGACTGCAATCTCAGGTTAGTAACGATGTCAATACTCAGACAGGGAAGCTCTCGTGGCAAACTATGAAGAACAAAAGTCCCAGTTTCTAGCTGTGTACTGAAAAATTCCCAACTCCACTCTTCTGTCTCATGGACTGTGACTAATATATTTACCGTTGTGTAAAAAATACATCTCAATACTTCACTGGCGTTATTCAAAACTCAGTTTCCAATAAAAATAAATAATTTTGAACGCTGTTATCTTGACTCTGCCATTCCGACCACTCCTCAATTATCTTTTCCTCCCCCTCTCGACTCTCTTTTATTTTTGATCTTCTCATCTTCTGCTAACAGTTTCCCTTCGACAGGAGAGGAACAGAGAGAGCTTTCCTGTTCAGGGAGAACGTTAAAAGATCGTCCCATTGGGTGAATGGAACAGAGAAGACACTGTGGGGTGAATCTTATGTGATAGCTACAGAGCGAAGACGAGGATTCATGGGTTTAAAAGATCTACTGAGATCTAATACACTGATGTATAGTGGTAAATGCTTCCTGTTTTGCGTTTCAAAATCCTTGCCTTTTCCTCTCCCACTTTGCTGATAATTACAAACATTATGAGGTTTTCCCAGCAGTCAGACGCTGAGCGAGATAGAGTATAGATCCTCTGCTCGGATGGTCGCTGGTTTAATTCGGGGGAAACTCCAAGAAAGTGGAAGAGGCGTAGGAGCGATGAAGTTACCCCCTTTAACTCGTGTTGTTTTTTGTGCTATTTTTAACGCTCATTTCCTGCGACACTGAACATTTCTGGAGTTGGCGATAAATCAACGTTTAGGGACTCGGAAAGTGTTCTTTTAATGTGAGTTTCGCTTTTTCATTGACAGACAAATCCTACTCTCCTCCTGAAGAAGTCTGACACGTGGAGATCTGGCTGACGAACCTGAAGAAAGTTCTCGAACGCAACATGTTGGCTGACCTACCGGTTGGACACGAGTGTCTTTGCTGATTTGCTAATATTATTATTAATAATAATTATAATTATTATTGCAATAATAATCCTCGCGTTTGATACAGCGCCTTATCGTGTCTTCGAGACGTCTCAAAGTGCTTCAGATAGATTCTGGTACACACCGTTAGGGGTGAGCATTTCTGCAGCGGTTATTAAGAAGTTTGATTGCTTTGTTGCAAGTGGTAATTAACGAACAGAGAGAGAGAGAGAGAGAGGAAATCAGCCTAAGATAATAATATACTGCAGGCAGTCTCGCTCTGATCATTGCCAGTGTGTCGTACTGTGAGGTGGGGAGGGAGGGAGAAGGGGAGAGAGAGACAAGCAGTTTTAACATACCGCTCGGAAGCCAGAATAGTTACAGAATAGTTACAGTGAGGTTTTAACCCGTTCGCCAACACACGAGAGAAAGAGGGGGTGAGGGGGAGCAATGAGCGAGGGGTGCGGGAGCAAGAGAGCGAGCAACAGTGCGAGATCGAATGGAAGAGAGTGGGATGGAAAGAGAACGAGAGCTTCAAAATCTGTGCCGTTATTCTAGAATTTGCTAATATTCTAGAGGTTGATGCAAGGTCCCTGGGAATCCCTGTGATGGAATGTGTGTATCAGACACTAATCCAGTTTCAGGACTCCAGCGATGACAGGTTAAGCTTCTCTGTTGTGCTTTGCTCTCAAAGTGCTTTATGGGGTCGGGTGGGCACCGAAGCCTGGAACAAGGGGGGTGGGCGGTGGGTGGTGGGCAAAAGATGGGGAGATGCTGTCAGCGGCCGAGGTGTGGGGGCGCTGACGGGAGCCAAGCAGGAGCGCCTCTGTCTTGTTGACATTCAACTGCAGGAAGTTGGCTCTCATCCAGGACCCGATGCCCGGCAGGTAATCTGTGAGGACAGCAGTTGTCCTGGAATTGAGGGTGGAGGCAGAGAGGTAGAGTAGGGTGTCAACCTCATACATGTGGAAGTCGACCCCACGTCTGGGGGTGATGTCTGGGAGCGAGACGAAGGGATGGAGTTCCAAAGGGTGGGGGCAGAGAGGCTGAAGGCCCCACTGGCGATGATGGGAAGGCCGGGCGGGGCCTTGGACCAGGCCACAACGACGACAACTTGCATTTATAGAGCGCCGCTCATGCAGGGCAGGCTCTCAGAGCGACTGGGTAATTCGGCGCTCCACCAACACAGCTCTCCAGCAACGCACAAACACAGTTCCTGAGAGCAATCGCCTTTGAGGCGCTCTGGGACCTTGCAACTTCCTCGTCCCTGTAACAAGACGCAATGATTATATTAAGTAGATGGAGCCTTGCAAATCAGTCACTGCACACGACAAGCAGCAGGTGGTAAAGTGATCCAGGTTCTAGTGTGTCCTCGTTTGTTAGCGGGAGATGTGGGTTCTGAATGGACGGGCGACTGAGGTCCTTTCTTAGGGACGGAGCCATTTCCCTTTGTCCCGAATTCTAAAAAGAAATAGCGTTCAGTCCTCATCCAACCAGTGCAGAGAGACAAAGGGGTATTGACAGTAGCAATGGACGGTTTCCCTAAATGTCAACCGAGGTTCCTTTAGAGTGGGTCTGTTCCTGCAGCCTAGGGTCCTTTCAAAGCGGTAACCTTAGCAATTGATTGGTATAGAAATTGGTAATTAAATGTGGCTGTTAGTCTGGTTATTAATGATGCCTTTCACTAACAACCCATTCGCATGTTGGCTGCATCCAACATCAGCCACACTTTGCCTGTGAGCTCTTGTGTTGCTGATGTTTAATTGGGTTGAATTCACATGTAAAGCTCCTAGTAACCTTTGTACCACAGCGTCAATTATATACAGTGAATCACAAGACGGCTGGATTGGGAATGAGCAACCCAATATTGTCCAACAACCTCTTAGAGAAGTCAGTTCTTTGTACCCATTCCCCACCTGCTAATGGCCTCCTTTGTTACAAGAATATAATTTGAAGGTTTGTGTTGGAATTGAAACATGAAAACCAGTAACATCCTTGAATCTATCATCAGCTGTTCAAAAGCCAGACAGGTCACCCCAAGATAATATTAAGAAGAATAATAATAATCCTTGCACTGGATATACAGCCTTATCATGTCTTCAAGACGTCTCAAAGAGCTTTGCAGAATTACAAAATTACATTTATATAGTGCCTTTCACATCGGGAGGACATCCCAAGCCTTGGTGCTGTAAAGTATATTACGGAATATACTGTAAAGTGAATTGACTGTATATTTTGTCCTAAATTCCCCAGTTAAAGTAGGTTGTGCACTTCACGGCTGTTTGTCTAGAAATACACAGTCACTACACTTGACAACCATTCCCAAGGGGGTAAAATATAGGGCATGTGGCGTGATAATTATCACGGCATTCAAGAGGCAAACGGTTTGGGTGTAGTGCTGGCTGTTCACCACAGGAGAGCAGGCATCTACATCTCATTGAGTTGATCTTAATACGTATAAATGTCTCATTACTAAACTGGCAGAAATAGTTCGGAATGAAACATCGGAGGAGAAATTGGACGGACACAACGAGGGA